AATGTGCCATGATTTATCAATCAAGTTGTATTCATTCTAGCATATATAGTCTAAATTAATACAAGTTTATTTAAACAATCTTTAAAAAGCAAATTTAACCACACAAGGACTTCACTTTGTTTTACCAAAGTGAAACGATGAACCCCCAGTTAATATTTGTGAAAATTGTTGAAAATTATAATTCTAGGAACTTTTTTGTTAATAAGTCCAGGCCTAAACTTTTTAAGGCGTGAAGTCTAAGCGCTCAAGTCAATTAAGTCATTAAGTCCAAGCGCTCAAAACAAATTAGTCATTAAGTTCAAACTAATTTTAAAAAAATTATTTAATGACAAAATACCCTTTAATTGGGTAGCCTTCTTCGCTTCGATGAAGGGTGGAAACGATGGGCTATCGCCACCTCCACTATCACTTTAGTCATCACCAAAGATCGCGACTTTGTTGACTTTTATCCTCTTTCAACTCTCTATCTCTATCTCTCGCTCACACACGTGCACACACATTTTCTCTAATGTTTCCAGCCCATTGAATTTTCCCAATATCCCCCCGTCTACAATTCCTAGGGTTTTTGACATAGTATTGACCTTATTTGCATTTATACACTCTATAATTAGAGCTGGTGTGTTTACATCTCTCTCTCTCACTCATCTCTTAGTGGTTGATAGACAGTTGTGCATGTGTTGCCTTTGAAGACTTATTAAGGTATGAAATTCTATTTTTCAGCTGGACAGAAAAGTTAACATTTTTCGCATAATCTGATTTTTGCGAGATGTTCTTTTGTGCCACTCATTCTTGTATCATGTACCTATTGTTGCTTTTCTCATGCTCTCTTTTATCCTGTCGAAGAACCCCCTTCGTAATAAGGGTTAAGAGGCTGCATGAACGCATTGTCGGTGGGTTACCGATTCTATCCTATGGACAAAGACCTCATTGATGACTACCTACGATTGAAGATCTACGGTTTAGAGAATGAAGTTAACATTATCCGTGAGGTTAATGTATGTAAATGTGAACCTTGGGACTTACCTGGTAAATACTCTTCTTTCCTTCTAAAATCCCTAGGTTTCTTGTCCCAAACAAATAAAAATGAAATAATCGGACAAACTGTTGATACTTTTTTCCATGGAAATTTAACAACTTCTAGATTTTATAAATTTCATTATATTAAAATGGATAGTGTACTAGAAATTTCATTATTTGTGAAAATTTTATAATATTTATTTCTCAATCCAACAATGCATACCCATTTTCATTTATATTACGAGTATAACTATATATATATTTTAAAGATTTAATATTGATATATTGTCATTAAATTAGCATGACATGAGCCAATATAGTAAAGCAATTATTTTGACTTGCACGTGTAATGCACGTGCAATAATAAAAAAAATAAGTAAATATTTTTCTCTAGAAGAAAAAATAAGAAAATATTTTTTTGCCAACTTTATAAAGGAAAAGAATTAATAGCATCTCCATTGTAGATGTCAACATTGAAATGTCAAATTTAATTNTAAATATTTTTCTCTAGAAGAAAAAATAAGAAAATATTTTTTTGCCAACTTTATAAAGGAAAATAATTAATAGCATCTCCATTGTAGATGTCAACATTGAAATGTCAAATTTAATTTGAAGACTTATGTGACAATTTGACGTATAATAATATTTGACATATTCGCTTCATTGTACTCTAACTGATATGTCAAAATAATTTATATTGTTACAACTTTATCTTTAAATCTATTTTGTTTGAAAAAAATTTACATTAAACACTTTTTTACTCAATAAAATATGTCATTTAAAAGACTTCTTTGGTCCAATGGTATTTCTTAACTTGTGATGTTTTGTCTTTTTTAGGTCAACGGTTCAACAGTTCAAGTTCCCCTCCCCTCTTCCTTCCAAAAAAAAAAAAAAAAAACATATCAAATGGGATGTGCCAAATTTAGCAGTATGCCAAATTTCATTTGGTCGACTTAGCAGTTGACATCTCCATTGGACAAGGAAAAAGGGCCAAATACGGCCAATGGGGGTGCTCCGGATAGCTTTTGATAGGCCGTTTGAAGTTGCTCTAACAGAAACGANGGTCGACTTAGCAGTTGACATCTCCATTGGACAAGGAAAAAGGGCCAAATACGGCCATTGGGGGTGCTCCGGATAGCTTTTGATAGGCCGTTTGAAGTTGCTCTAACAGAAACGAGAGGAATTAAATCCCAAAAATCTAAATATGGCCTAGAATGGTCTAACGAGTTTTTGAAAGCTCAAAACTTTAAACTCTCATATTTCAATGTATTTTAAGAAATTTTTAATAACTTTAAAACCACTTGATGTTTTAATGGCATAAAAACTTTATTTTTCATTGTTTATAGCATAGCATATTGGCCAAAAATTTATCAAAGAAAAATATTGTGTAATGTACATGCCCATGTCCTCAAACATTCACCAATTTTGATGAATCTTATCGAAGTCCATTACTTTATAAAGGTCTTTATCCACCTAATCTCTANATGTGTTGCCTTTGAAGAGTTATTAAGGTATGAAATTCTATTTTTCAGTTGGACAGAAAAGTTAACATTTTTCGCACAATCTGATTTTTCCGAGATGTTCTTTTGTGCCACTCATTCTTGTATCATGTACCTATTGTTGCTTTTCTCATGCTCTCTTTTATCCTGTCGAAGAACCCGCTTCGTAATAAGGGTTAAGAGGCTGCATGAACGCATTGTCGGTGGGTTACCGATTCTATCCTATGGACAAAGACCTCATTGATGACTACCTACGATTGAAGATCAACGGTTTAGAGAATGAAGTTAACATTATCCGTGAGGTTAATGTATGTAAATGTGAACCTTGGGACTTACCTGGTAAAGACTCTTCTTTCCTTCTAAAATCCCTAGGTTTCTTGTCCCAAACAAATAAAAATGAAATAATCGGACAAACTGTTGATACTTTTTTCCATGGAAATTTAACAACTTCTAGATTTTATAAATTTCATTATATTAAAATGGATAGTGTACTAGAAATTTCATTATTTGTGAAAATTTTATAATATTTATTTCTCAATCCAACAATGCATACCCATTTTCATTTATATTACGAGTATAACTATATATATATTTTAAAGATTTAATATTGATATATTGTCATTAAATTAGCATGACATGAGCCAATATAGTAAAGCAATTATTTTGACTTGCACGTGTAATGCACGTGCAATAATAAAAAAAATAAGTAAATATTTTTCTCTAGAAGAAAAAATAAGAAAATATTTTTTTGCCAACTTTATAAAGGAAAAGAATTAATAGCATCTCCATTGTAGATGTCAACATTGAAATGTCAAATTTAATTTGAAGACTTATGTGACAATTTGACGTATAATAATATTTGACATATTCGCTTCATTGTACTCTAACTGATATGTCAAAATAATTTATATTGTTACAACTTTATCTTTAAATCTATTTTGTTTGAAAAAAATTTACATTAAACACTTTTTTACTCGATAAAATATGTCATTTAAAAGACTTCTTTGGTCCAATGGTATTTCTTAACTTGTGATGTTTTGTCTTTTTTAGGTCAACGGTTCAACAGTTCAAGTTCCCCTCCCCTCTTCCTTCCAAAAAAAAAAAAAAAAAACATATCAAATGGGATGTGCCAAATTTAGCAGTATGCCAAATTTCATTTTGTCGACTTAGCAGTTGACATCTCCATTGGACAAGGAAAAAGGGCCAAATACGGCCAATGGGGGTGCTCCGGATAGCTTTTGATAGGCCGTTTGAAGTTGCTCTAACAGAAACGAGAGGAATTAAATCCCAAAAATCTAAATATGGCCTAGAATGGTCTAACGAGTTTTTGAAAGCTCAAAACTTTAAACTCTCATATTTCAATGTATTTTAAGAAATTTTTAATAACTTTAAAACCACTTGATGTTTTAATGGCATAAAAACTTTATTTTTCATTGTTTATAGCATAGCATATTGGCCAAAAATTTATCAAAGAAAAATATTGTGTAATGTACATGCCCATGTCCTCAAACATTCACCAATTTTGATGAATCTTATCGAAGTCCATTACTTTATAAAGGTTTTTATCCACCTAATCTCTAATAAAAAATAATTATTGTCCTTAATAAATCAAGTTGTAAAACATCATCAATCGATACGAGTTTTCTTAAACAATATAACTTGAATTTTTTTTAGTAAAAAATAATTTCATAAAAAACAAATTTGCTTGGAAGAGTCTTTTGTAAAAATAAACTACAGACATCTTTGTATCTAAATAATTCATTATATATAGAAAAATATAGGAATATGTTTATTTCTATGAATATATGATTAAGCTAAAAAAAAAAAGAGAGTAAAGTTAGATAAGGAAAAAAACAAAAAATCTAAACCAATACTATTAAATAAGTACTTAAAATGCAAAAAAAAAAAAAAAAAAACTAAAAAAAAGGTATCAAAAATACCATATTTTAGTAAGTGTTTTATCTTCACAATGACAACCAATGAAATCTAATAAATATTGTGGCACATGATTGAATTTAATCAAAATTGTTAAAAATTGAAATTGATGGTATCCAAATCTCCTCCTTCCAATATTACTATTGTTTATTCTAGTTTACATTCTTTTTTTTTTCGGTTAGACATTATTATAGAAAAAAGATGACAGGGTTTGGATTCACCACTTTCAAGTTAAATAGCATAATTGTAATTATTAGATTGATCGTGAATCTCTATCACTCACTGATAATCGAGTTGAACTATTTGAGTTTAATTTTTTTAAATTTATTTTTTAAACGAATCTAACTTGAATTATTTTTTAGGCTTATTTTAAAAATAAACCCGATAAACTTAACTCGTTCATACTTAACTCGATAGTTCAATCGATTATCAGCCCTATTCATAAGTCATAACCCATATTTTGTTAAAGATTATCATTTTGGTGCCAATTATACCCCGGGAGATTTGAAAAGATTTGAAAACCAATCAAATTTGGAGAGGGAGGGAGAGGGAGAGAGAGGGGGAGAGAGAGACAGGGGACGGATTGCTAAACATCCAAGACATAGATTTCCATGCTTCTAATTTCTCTCACCTGAATACGTCGGATTCTCAGGTACCAATCTACTACTCCTTACAGTCTTCAATTTCCCCTTTGTAGCGGACTTCATATTTTCTGCTTGGTTTCTGAGAAAAAAGAAAAAAGAAAGAAACTTGGTAGTATGAAAAGCATTCGATTCTTATGAAATTTTGGGTTCTAATCTAGGTAATGGGTCATGTGGATTCGCTCTCACCTCCTTCTGGTATGCAGTACTTTCTTCGTGAAAGCTCTTTAGATTCCACTGAATCTTAAACCCTATTTGATGGACCAGAAAATTTTAGAAAAGAAAGGAAATTCCTTGATTCTATTCAATTTCCTTTTTCGTTTCTCACAATTTCTCGGAAACCAAATAGGCGTAAAAGATCTCATGTTATACAGAAAATTCTGACTCTCTTTTTTTTTTTTTTTATCAGACACTTTGTTGATTATTGTGTTTTTATTCTTGTTAATTAGAGCTTCCTGATATTCAAAAGTGGTTTTCAAGCTATGTGTACGAGTCTCCAGAGCTCAATACAGGCAATGGTTTTGAAGATTGTGGGTATTCTTTAGAACCTGACGGTAAGAAAGATGGGTTTAATGGAGAAGCGAGCAGCAAAGAGAGGGAAGAGAATTTGGAAGAGAATAAAATAGTAGGGAAAAGGGATGTATTGGTGGATGGTGAGAGTGTAGCTTCTAATGGGTTTGTGAGTACATTCTATTGACCTTCTATTTCACCTTTTTTTTTGTCAATTTGTTTCTTAACCGAAAGAAAGGTACATGACATTCATATGGCAGTTTATTTCATTTCAAGTACACTAGCTTTTTGAGGGAATTGTGCAGTCTTGATGAATTTGGTCAAAAAGAATTGAACTAATGTTGGATTAAACTGGTATACGTGAAATGATACGTATGATCCACCGTGGCATTGTCGTCATGAAGAGAATAACATTTACTTTATGTTGGGCCTGTTCTTAGTCATTATTTGAAAACTTGATTAGAACACTTAAAAACTAGCTTTTCGCATTGGATTGAGATTGAGGTGTTTGTTCCCCTCAAGCTCTACTTTGTTAAATGCATGGATTTGTCTATTTCCTTTTGTAGAGTAATATGTACTTAGATAAGAGGCTTGCATGGAGACTTTATGAGAGCAGTTGAGGTCGTGATGTTTATTGCAATTTACAAGTAATCTCCTATTCCTTTTCCAGCCAAAACTTCTAACAAGTTAACTAAGAGTTGACATTAACTAGAAAGCTAAATGGAGACTTTCTTAGATTTTGTGCACCATTAGATACAGTACGTGTTCGAGATTCATGCTTAGTTTTCATTTCTTGTACGCTTTACTTACTTGGTCCTTCTAGTGAAGCTTGTGTGTATCAACAAATTTCCACAGATTTAAGCATCATTATGAAGAACATTACTTTATGCTTCAACGAGCTTGAGCTCATAATTTGTTACCGTTCTTGGAGATATAAATGAAAATTTTCACTTCTCAAGAGAATTTGGTGCCTCATAATGAAATCAAAGAGTGTGATTTTAATTATATTTGCTTGTTGTGGTCTCCAGAGCCAAATACTGAACATGCATATCTTGACCTTCAAACTGTGATCTTACTTTTTTCGGTACATTAAGTCTCATTCTATTATATTTTCTATGCTCTTTGATTTTCCTATGTGCTGCAGATATAGTTTCTGTTGTGTTAGCTGCGTAAATGTAGGATATGAACTGAAATACAAATATGTACACATAATGATATTTTTTCTTTTCCACACTGCTTACTAGTTACCCCCCAAACATTGTTAATTTGTTTTGTTTTTACATTACCCAATTGTGTAGGTTCTGGGTTATTCTCAGCCACTCTCACTATCTTCTGGTATGTAAGACTCTTCAAAAAACATTTTGATTCCACTCTGTTTGGTCCTTAGAAATTTGAGAGAAGGGGATGATTTTTCTTTACTCTCCTACTATTTTCGAGCTACCAAACAAAGTGTTACTCAAACTATTCAGAAAATGTTAACTTCTACTTGTATTTGTCAGATTCATCACAGCCTCCTGACATTAAGAATTGGTTCTCAAGCTACGTGTATGAATCTCCGGCACAAGAATTAAGTAGTGATTTCATACTTTCTGAATATAAAGAAAGCAAATTTGTCTCAAAGGACTACAATGCTGGAAAGAGCAGCAACGGAAAAGAAGAGAATTCCAGGGAATCCAGAACTTGGAAAAACAATGAATTAATCGTTGATTGCAAATTGCCTCCTAATTGTGTTGCTAAGTGTAATGACTCTTTTGAAGATAACAAGTATCAGCATCAGAATGTTAGCAAGGTACTCTTTTTGACCTTCCCCTTTGCCTTTGTTCTTTACCCTATTTTTCAACTGTAAACTATAGTTCATATGTATGTCATCACATTCCCAACAAAAAGCCTAACTCTTTTGTTGGTGGGTTTTTTTTTTTGGGGAGGGTGGTGAGCATATATGAAAGTCAATCTGTAACAGATGATTGAAACAGTAACTTCAATGATCTTATATATTCATTTTTGTATTTCCTTGGGGTTTAACTTGTGATTTATTTGTAAAAGATAGTTACAGAAGGAAGTCATTATCCAAGCTACTTCTTAGTGATCAGAAACACAACCTTTTTCTTTGACGAACATTTAGAGTAACATACATTTTCTGCTAAGCCAGTGCTTCTTGTTAGGAACTTTCAGAGCAATCACGAGATTGATGGGACAAAAAGCTCTGTTGTCCTAAATGTCTGGCCTTTCAAGACGATTTCTGAAAAGATCTTGGAAGGAGACACAGCAAAAAACAATGAAGATGCTTTGCCTAAAGATGTTAAAAAATCATGCTCAAATGATCAAGGTTTTACTGGAGAGCTGGAAAGGAAGTTCTTCCAAGAAGCCAGTGACAGATCGTTGGATGTCAACACAAGTATAGGTCATACTGGTATAAAAGCTCCTGGAAGGTTATTTCATAGGAGTGATCCCACAGAAAAGACTTCTAAAGCTGAAGCTCAAACAAGGGTTGGGATTGCTGTACCTGAAAGTAATTTGGATTTCATCGTAACACATGCAGGTAGAAAACAAACTAGTAGGAGCAACGACAAGGAAAATGATGGAAATGACTTTGCTGCAAGGGATTTCATTTCAACAAAATCGAGTAGAAGTAGAAGAGTAAATGATGAAAATTCTTTCAAAAGGCCAGCTGGTGATCAATCGGAATCTTTAAGAACCAGGGTGAGACCATCATCAGCCAGTGACAAGGATGCCATCTTAAGGAGAAAGGTGTTATCAGAAACAACAAACTTTCAACACTCAAATGCCTCAGAAAGTACTGGAAAATGGCGGTGTCCACAAAAGAGCAAGCCAAACCTTGGTCCTCCTTTAAAGCAGCTTAGACTTGAGCAATGGGTTCATAGGTCCTGAAAATATCATCTGTTGATAGACAAGCTCGGATCTATAATAGCCATGAGTTGTTTGTTTATTGATCCTGACAGAGATAGACACTGCCCTGTGAAGCCTGTGCTTTGCTGCTCTTCATATGCTTGGCTTGGTAATTGATTTCACTGTTTGTCTATTCAAAATTGGCAGCAGCTGTAAGGCAATGAAGTTTGCATACAATACTGCTACGGGTTCAAGTATAAGTTTTTGATATGTCAGCCAAATTGTTATATGCTATAATTGGGGAGTCTTCGGGTCAGCTTATGAGTAAACTCCTAATAATAGTGAAATAGGGGCTTGTTGTGTTCAACTCTTGAAAATTAAAACCTCTAGGAGCATCAAGTTTAAAACGCTTTAACTTTTATCTTGAAAAAAAGGTAAATTATTTGCAACCCTGTAGTGACACTCTCCGAACAGTATCCCACCTCTATTACCGTCCTCCCACTCTAACATAGTACCCTTTGTACACTTCTACATTGCCTGCATAGTGAATCTCTTTATCGGCCAACCTCGGCCCCTACGAAATGCCATCATCATCGATTGAGGAAAAGTGACAGAGAGTACTAAATTGAAATAAGTAAACAAGTGAGATAAAAGAAGGGTGGATCACCCCCATGATCATTCTATCTCCACTCTTGTTCTACCACCATGAGTCCTATCCAAAACCAGTCATTTCCTCATTGCCACCCCACTCACAACCTGTTCAATCTTATTTACCACTACAAACCGCCAACATAAAATACATTGCAAGTATAACCGGGACGAAGGAAATAACATTAAAGACCAAGGTTTAAAATGTAATTTCAGTTGAACTTGAAACTTAGAAGGTGTAATTCGTTGAAATTAAAAGCACAGGGAGCGCATTGCAATAAGACCCTAAGTTGAAGAGTAGAAAAGTGTAATTAATTTACACTTGCGACTGAAGATTTTCTTATTTATAGCGCTCGCCGTCATCTTCCTAAAATTTTAACTTGTTAACCTGCGAGAAATCAGTCTAATCACCTCCGAGAACTGTTTTTCGCTTCTGAGATTCTATGACTAAGATGTTTGCATTTCTGACCGTCACTAAATCATTCGGACACCTCTCAAACAAATCGAAGCCCTACTTGTCTCAACTACTCTTTCACCTGAATTCGATTCCTGAGAATTCCAATTCCCGTCAATGGCAATTCCAAAGCATTAGAACTCTCCTGTTACAGTCCACGTCTGAATCTGTGAAGTTGCAGAGACTGTCCGACTCCGATTCCGGTAATTCTTACAGGCACACTCGCACACTCATACCCCAGCACCTAAGTGTGTTTCATGGATTTTCAGCTTCGAATTAATTACTTGTTGGCCATTTTTTCCCCTTTTTAAGCACTTTGTGTATTTCGATTTCATGTTGAATTTCAGGGTCATTGTAATTTGAAGAGGGGTTATTGAAATTTTTTCTTAGAATGTCCCATATTTGTATTGAAAATTATGCATTGGGATGTTGGCTTTTCCTGGGTTAAACTTGTATTTTGAATGTGAGAATGCTTCTACACTTTCAAGAAAGACCCAATGCATAATTTCTTCCTGTTGAGTTTATGTGGCTGAGAAGCCTTAAGAATTGCCATATTCTTGCACCATGGGACTTGTTTTGATAGAAACCTCTTCCCTATGGACTATTCATATACTAAAATCTAAACTGAGTTTTATTTTCAGGAATTATTGAGGTTAGTTTGGACAGGCCCAATGCAAAAAATTCCATTGGCAAGGATATGCTGAGGGGACTACAGCATAGCTTTGAAGCTGTAAAGAGAGATTCTTCTGCAAATATTTTGATGATCTGCAGTTCAGTCCCCAGGGTGTTCTGTGCAGGTGCTGATTTGAAGGTAGAATATACCTTCCATTTTGAATTAAGTTAATCACGCTAGGATTAGATATCATTATGCTTATAGATTAAAATTAATAATGAAGGGAAGGAAAGGATATATAAGATTAAGGTAAAAAAGTAAATACCCAGTTAAACTTAATAATGGAAGAAAATGACCCATGCCCAATTTTCCACAAATAAGGGGCATATGCAGCATGGCTCAGAAGTCATAACCAGTCAGGACAGGAGACATCAGCATATGAGAAGTCCATTTCCCCCAATCCCTAGGAATCTTTACTTTCCTAAATTTTAACAGAATCTACCCCTCATAGTCTATATGTTCTTAGTTCAATTCTTGAAATGACTTGACCAATAAAGTAAATGAAATTTAAGCAGGACTCCAGATTGAATGGACAGCAATCATATTAGACAAATGTGAGGCATGTAACCATCTGGATGGATTTCTTGATTCTCTGCTATCTCTTGCTATGGTTTTGAATGGCTTCTTTGTTTTGATTGTTGGCCTTGATACCACTTTCTGCCCCAGCCCTATTGGACGATGTGAGTGGCTTATAGATGCAGCTATGTGGAAGGAAATTTTTCTCAGTAATCCCTTGCCCAAGGCTCTGATGAACCTCTTTGTGTTTGGGGGTTGTTCTTTTCAATTTGAGTAAAAGCCCGTCTTTAATGGTTCATACTTGTTACTTATCCATGATGGAAGTCTTAGTTCTAAATGAGGAGAAGGGGGAGTGAACCAACAGATGCTCTTTGGTCCTTGATAGAACCTCAAATATCAACAAAACAGTCACCCCTACTGACAAAAATGATCAATAGTTCCGTGGAAGTAAGGGATCAGACGTTGAGGTCAGTAGCCTAGCAGACCAGAACTTTTAACAATCTCCAAGCCATGATTTTAGTCATGGTGTCTATTATTAGTTAATATGGTGATTCTATGGACATGAATATGTCTCCTTTCGGTCATTCTGCTGTGCCTTTTTTTAGTTTATGCAAATTCTTGAAAATGTGAACTTAAATATGCACATGAGATTTTGCTTTCATTTTGTATTATTTTTTGTAAGTATTGCTTTCTGCATGCAAGTTCTTACAATTTGATGGAAATATAAGCAAAGGTTCATTGTTTTCTTTATTTCCATTGCCCGGATGCGCCAATCACTTTCTATTGTGCTGGTACCTTATATATGCTTTTGATGATTATGGTATGGATGGCTGGACAAATTAACATGTCCTTGAGCAGCTACAGATTGGTTTTCGTCCCAGAGATTAACATACATCTAAGGGTTCTGATAAGTGACAAGTGCAGGTTATACAATAACTAATTCAAAGGCCAATCTACAGCCTGTGGTAAGGTCATTGTAACAGTGAAGCAAGAATACCATATGTGCTGTTCTCTCATCTCTGTAGCTTTGGTTTGAACCAAGATTGTCAGGGATATATTATCTTGCAAAGAAAACCCACTGCAGATATCAACTATTATTTCCATAATGTCTCAGGGATATATTATCTTGGAAAGAAACCCAATGCAGATATCAACTATTATTTCCATAATGTCTCATTTTTTGGCCTTTATAGTTGATTGTATGCTTGTAATAGATCTTGGGCGAATATTCTCTTTTTCTGTACCATTTGTAACAGCTGATGCACTTGCTTAACAATACACGCAAATTGATTCCTAGGAACGGAAGACAATGAGTCCATCTGAGGTTCAGGCTTTCGTTAACACTCTACGCTCGACATTCTCTTTCTTGGAGGTTTGTGATTAAAACTTGCAAATGAAAGACACCTTGTTTTTGAACTTGATGTGATTATCCAAAGCGTTTAAGGTGTCTAGACAATGCTAAATTTATGGTATGCCTGCATCTATTTCTGATATGTTGTGTTTTACTCCATGACACTGACTTTATTCCGTTATTAGAAGTCCTCACTGCATATCATCAGAATTTCCACTTTGTCACTTTATTAAATTATCTGCAATGGGCCTCACCAGGCACTTCATATTCCTACTATAGCTGTCATCGAAGGCGCAGCATTGGGTGGTGGACTGGAAATGGCTTTATCCTGTGATATTCGGATATGTGGTAATTCTGGTTTCTATACTTTCTTATTTTAACCTTACTTGTATATGGTACCTGCTTGCATTATTTGGAGTTTATAGTTTCACTATTAGTGACTCAGGAGAAGATGCAGTGTTGGGCTTGCCAGAAACAGGACTTGCTATTATACCAGGGTATTTGATGTCTCAATTGAAAATTTGCCCCATTCGTTTTATTTATTTTTTGGATTTCAATTTACCTCAATGTTGTTCAAGATGGATTTGTCTCCCCAGTCTCTTTGGCAACTTTTGACAGGCTGTTCATCATTTTATATGTCGTGTGCTTTACCAATGCTGATGAAGCTGCTAGATTTTGAATCTGATTTCAAGCTTGAATAGATATTCGGCAGATAATCATCTTGCAGAGCATTATCTGATTATGAAGTCCTACACCTTTTCAGGGCAGGTGGGACCCAACGGCTGCCTAGATTAGTAGGAAAATCAGTTGCAAAAGAACTTATATTTACTGGTCGGAAGATTGGTGGTAGAGATGCATTATCAATGGGTATGCCTAAATTGGGAACTTGGGTTTTCAATTAGTTAGTTTCCATTCAACAGCGAAGATACATTATTGTGCAGGCCTTGTCAACCACTGTGTTCCTGCTGGTGAAGCTCGTTTGAAGGCACTCGAAATTGCTCGGGATATAAATCAGAAGGTTCAAATTTATATCTCTTCAGAATCTTGACTGGTGAAAAAGTAAATGATCTAAAACATTATCAGTTTAAGCTCACTGGAAACAATCAAAAAGTATAATGACATGATCCTTGACATTATGCTTTTTGATGTCTCTTAAATGCGATCAGCCAATAAACGCTGAGATTACTGATACACAAGTTATTTGTTTTGTTTCTATACTCAAAAGTGTTATGTATAATACTAACAATAATTCATGATTCTTCACAGGGTCCATTGGCGATAAAGATGGCAAAGCAAGCTATTGATGAGGGGCTTGAGATAGATATGGCATCAGCTTTGTCATTGGAAGAAGATTGTTATGAACAGCTCTTGAACACAAAAGATCGATTGGAAGGGTTAGCTGCATTTGCAGAGAAGCGAAAACCTCGATATATAGGTGAATGAAGAAACCAAAAATGCTACAAACGAAATTTTTGTGCCTCACGTATCACTCAGAAGTATGTATGGAGTACCAATTTTCTATTTGAAAGTTCAAGAGAGAATGTCAAAAGTATTCCCCCTCCTTCTTTAGCTGGTTCCTTCGGATTCTACATTGTTTGAATTAGATTATTCCGACAATAATTTCTATGATTGGACAGTTCACTCCGATTATCTACCATGAAACTATAGCAGTTGTGGCGTTTTTAAGTTTACATACAATGTTTATATCAGTAGGCATACTGAGTTTATAGTGTTGCTGCAGTAATTGCAATATACAGGCCCCTTATGCTTTATGCCAAAAGGGCAACCCATTGCAATATTCTTTTGTTATTGCAGAGTTTGGAAAAGATTAGATATACGCAGTCTTGTTCTGTATGCTGCATATCAATCAAATTGGGACTATATTTGAGACAAGGGTTGTTCAAAGTCATCCCAACAACATGTAAAGAAGAAGAAATGTGAAATTAAAGTGCGAGTGACCACAAACTTTGAGAAATTATTTTTGCGAAACATTAAAGGAGTGATTGAATCAGAACCCATCAACTCTTTTTCCTCCTCCTAGAGACCTCATGAATGCAAACAAGATTAATAAAAATATAAGGTAAATATCATAATTAGTTTTGAAATTTTATCTATTATTATAAAATAGTTCAGAAACTTTCAATTGTTTTAGTTTAGTTTCTTAATTATTAATATGGTGTCAATCAAGTCATTCCGGCAAAGTTTAAAGAATAATTTTTGATAAAATAAGGAGATTTTTATATTCACACTCACATTGCACCAAAAAAAAAGAAGTACACCATCTCTAAGTATAACTTTTAGATACACTAGTTAGGATTAAATAACATAAAATTTTAAAATTAACATCGATTTTATTCAAAACTCATATAAATTTAAAGTAAAATTACAATATGTGAAAATTATTTACTAATATATGATCTTTTTATTCAATAAAAATGTTATATATACGAATGAGTTATTAGTTTGTTAGATAAGAATTCGAATTTTCTCACTTAAAAGCCATCGGGTGTAGTTGTAACACTCGCAAGATGCGACACATTCCTTGACATTTTAAGTTTAAGTTTTCATAAATTTATTTTTTATTATATTAAAAAAAAATTTAATTGGAATGTGCATAAATTAATCTACATAATACGACGGTTGAATAACAGAAAAAAGAAAAAAGAGAGATTGATGCTTGACACAGTTCTACATTCGCACGACTGTGGTACCATCCCAAATCCTTAAGAAAGAGAGAGTGTCTCAGTCCACGTAACGTTCCGATCAAAACCCTACCTTCTGTGCGATATAAAAAAACCCTCAAATTAATAAGTCGGACGGAACAAAGAGAAGAAGAAATCAGAGAGATCAATGGCTGAGATTCCTTCCACTAAGAGATGGCTTCCTCTAGAAGCTAACCCTGACGTCATGAATCAGGTATGTCGATCGTCTCTGTTTGTGTGTGTCTGTCTCAGAAAATGAAATTTCAACTTTATGATTTTGTTTTTCTTTTCCATTTTTTCTTAATGCAGTTTTCCTTAGAACACATAGGGTGTTTTGGTGTTCTTGAAGTACAGCGTTGAAAATGGCACTGTCTTGGATAAACATGTTTTTCCTTGATTGAATGTTTAGTTTAGACAAATATTAGTTGAAATTGATGATCCAATTGTGTCGAATGCTGCTAATAAATAACTGATTGAGTTGCAATGAAGAAATTTATCTCTTGTTTGGGCCAGTGGGGAAGTAGAGCACGGTCTTAATCGTTCTGGATTAGGATAAATTTCGGTGGGATGACACAAGGATGGACTAAACTCTGGTGTGCTCGTCTTTTCTTTATATTGTTCATGATTATTTTGCCTAATCTTGGGGTTGGAATTTGTCAAATTTGATTGTATAGTGAAGTACTTCAATTCTTCATTTTTTTTGTAACTTTATGCGAAATATGTTAAGAGTTAGTTTTGATTTCAAATATACAAAAGGAACTAGATGATGAATTTATATCTCAGCTGTTTGGGTTGAAAACATAAAGTATGTCTGAATAGGACTTTGAGTTGGGAGACAAAGAGAAAAAGTCCAGGCACTCCTCATTACACCATGTTGATAAACGGAATTTGGAGCACCTGAGACTTTTGGAGTTCCCATAGTGGTAGTTAAAAAAAAACGAAAAAGAAATACTGCATCTGTATAATTTATTTTCTTTGGCCATTGAGCAGTTCTTTTGGGGCCTCGGTGTTCCACCAGATGAGGCAGAGTGCTATGATGTGTATGGCTTGGATGATGAACTGTTGGAAATGGTCCCGAAGCCAGTACTAGCTGTGCTGTTTCTTTATCCAATCACATTACAGGTGTGTGGTTTCAGATATCTGTGCGTGTCCTCCTTTTGAGTATATTTGCTGTCTTTTCAACTTGTAGTCCTTCATGTGATACTCATTACTTGGAGATTGTGTTGAGTATGCAAATTTGTGCTGATATAAAGGAAATGTATTCTTGACAGAGTGAAGAAGAAAGAATACTGCAAGACAGTGCAAAGACGGTAAATTTTATTTACATATTGTTACATCTAAATTCTACTACTTTCACTTAGATGTTGTAATATCTAAATACTACGGCAGGTAATTATTTGCACTTAGTCGTTCTGTTGCAAAGTTTGACTCCATGCCAATGGTTAGGGTGATATTGCAGTCTAATTTTTCAGAGGTGTGACTATATCAACAACAACCATTTACTAGCCTGAAACAATCTGCAGGGTTCAAATTATTAGAGGTCTAGAGTCTATTATTAGCATTGGGCCAAATACCCTTTTAGTTTGATGGTATGAATATTACATTCGATTATGACTTAACAATTTTGATGTCATCTAATCAATCTCGTGAAATTGAATGGAGCTTAATAGATAGTATTAATGTTGCAGTTAAGTTGATACTGCTTTATGCTACAGACATGATTTTATCAACAGGGTCAATACAAAACATACATGTTTACAATCATCTCACTGGGAGTGAAAACCATCAAATTTCCAGCTGCCGGTTTGCTGAGAAACCAATTTCTTGATAAGCAGAATACGTTAATCGTTGTGCTTTGAAAACTAACAGACCTTATTTAGTGTAGAAATTTTATGTAACATATATATACACCATGTGTTTGTGGGTGCAAGCATCTATGATTATTATTGTTCATTGACTTTGTGTGTCTATATTAGGATCTATTGATGCTAGTCTGACTGCAGGAGCCTAGCAGTGGAGTTTACTTCATGAAACAAACCGTGGGAAATGCCTGTGGAACCATTGGACTTCTTCATGCCGTTGGGAATATCACTTCAGAGATAAAACTAGGTAAATTTTTTTCTCTCTTTTAAGGTTTCCCGGATGAAATGGGTTGCTGGGAGACTGGGGGGGATATGAAGTACTAAAAGGGAATGGAAAATCTGAATTTCAAGGCTAATGTAGCTATTTGGAATAATTATAAGTTAGAACTTGCATAAGATATCAATGTGCTGAATTTTGTACCTGTTTTATGCTGGGTTTTTTTGTAATTGGCTGTAGGATTGAGCATTTCATGATAGATCCAAATGTTCTGATTAACATCTAGAAATCAAAGTCTTGGCCGCTCAGTTTACTTGGTGACCAAGCACTTTTTAGTCCCAAGTCTTGTCTTCTATACGTATTTCGTGGGCTAGCTTTCCTTCTGAGTATGGAACCAAGAACTCTAAAGCATAGATACAACTTATGATGTGTTGGATATCATTTCGTACGTGTGAGAGACACTAGGTGTCACTCATAGATTTTTCCTCTCCATTCTTTCTTATAAGTCAAAGGAGCTCTTAAGATCTGCAATTTAAACCGGCAACCGGACATTCAATCGTATCCTTTCAAGCCTAGAAACTTATTATTTCCAATCCCTTCCCTCACCTAAGATTCGATCCCACAACCTAAAGCCCAAAAAAATCCTGCAAGTTACTGTTCAAGAGCACCGTTTTGCAATGCTGGAGTACCCACAATAATCCTCATTTTCGCACTACCCATGAGACGCTTTCATTCCTAATCATTCCCCACACACTAAAAGTTACGTCTAGAACCCTGGAATCTTTATTTCCTTCTCTAAATCCATTCAGAATTTCGTTGTTTAGGTGCTGAAGTTGTTTTGTGCATCATATTTGTAATCAGAGTAGGCAATCACCATGTCTACTTCAATGGTGAGATCCTTTTGCAGAAGATCCTCCCGACACTTTCGCTCAATTCACATCTGGCATAAGGGCTGACATTAGTAGTCCGTAGTTGGAGCCTGCTTTCCAAGTAGCCTTAGACATGGTGGAGTATCTAAGTTTCCAATCATCAAGAAGGTGGCATCCCAAGCCCAGAGACAGCAGCAAAATAGCTTGGTGATCTCCACTGAATTGCTAGGACACCATTTCTCTGGCTAAATCAAAGGCTTAACTATGATAAAAACAAAGTTAATGTGAGTCGTGCTCCCAAAAGGTTTGATGATAACTAGCATTGCTTCATATGTATTGGCAAAGTGCACAAGGATGGTAGTGTGAGCAAAGAGAAGAGCCAAATCAACAAGAAAAGTTTCAATGCTGGTGAATTGGCAGAATCTGCTGTTGATATCTCTTTGGCTATGGTAATTCGATGTATGCTCGCTGCCCAAGAAGTTTTGAAGGTAGATTGGAGTCAAACAACCATCTTTAAACGTTCTGTCTCTCACCATAACATTGTATATATTTGACTATTCTTATTACCACTACCACCATAACATTGTATATATATGACTATTCTTATTACAACTACCAACCATCATATTGAATCTGTCATTGTGTTCAACTTATTCTATTTAGCATGTCATGTATGTCATCTAATACTGTTAGGCAACTGATGCGTCTTAGTTCTTCTCGTGTCTACAACCCATACTATTATCTTGAACCACGGATCGAATATATAGTGGCCTATTCAAGTGATGAAGAAAAATTGGAAAGGGGTTTCAAATGAGGGCAACACTGTAACACATATACCGAGTTGACTTATAGGGGGTAATACAGCTACATTTTAGGGGTTCTATTCTATCAAATATCAAGGCGGTGTTCAGTGGGTGTCCTTATAGTTTTTCTTCCTTTATTGATATATACTTGTTATATCCTTATATGTGCGATTCATATCATTCAAATGATTTGCAGGATTTAGCATGGTATCTAGATTTTGTTCAATTGTTCAATCTCCCATTTCTAAAAGTGATTATGTTAATTTTTGTCTCTCCCCTTTTCATGTTTCTGGTTTTCAGTTGAGGCCTCATACTTGGACAGGTTCTTCAAATCTACTGCAAACATGGATCCATCGGAGGTTTTATTTCCAATTGATTTTTTCACATTAGACTTGAATATTTGACGATAGATCAAAGGTTTGGCTGATTCTCATTTCTAACTTATTCCCAAATATATCTTTTGTAGCGCGCTGCATTCCTTGAAAATGATAGAGAAATGGAAGTTGCTCATTCAGTGGCAGCTACAGCTGGTGAGACTGAGGTGAGTTTCAGTTAGTTTATTGTAGATTTAGCTGAACTTTCATCCACTTTCTAGTCTATCTTGGTAATGCCTAGTGGCGATTGTAAATTTGGCGCACTCTAGTGGCTTTAAGTTACTTCTGACAATCAACATTGCTACATTGAAGTGTGTTGTAGTAATTGTTTATCTTCACATAATTTTTTCTAATAAAAGAAAGATATGCATATAGGACATCTTTCAATCCATAAATGATGCTTGTTTTGCGGGAGGAAAAGTTCTTTAGCAGATGAAACAAATGAGTGATTGGAGAAAAAGGGTTATACGTCAGTATCAGGATTCAGGAGTGTAGGAGATTGTTGATTTTGGGTGCTTACAGTTAGCTGAAAGATGGGTGATCTGCTGAGGTGGCTCAAGAACATGTGAGTGAGGCCTAAAGTGATAAATGTTAATGAGGTTTTTATTTTTATTTTTATTAATATTCTAAAATTTTAAATTAGTTTTTATTTTAGATCCTTTATGAGAATAAATAGTTTTATTAGTGTTTTGTGCTTAAATGACAACAAAATTGAGTTTGAGAGAAATAGAGAATGTGTTGAGTTTATTTTTATTTTTGTACAAGATAAATAAAGATTGATGCTTATTATATTATTTTTGATAGGAGAAAGCCAAAAAAAGATTGATGATATCAGACTTTCTTATCAACCTTTTTTGTAATTCAACAAATGTGATTGTGTAAAGTGGGTTGAACTTCTGGGCCCAAATTTTAAAATTATTTTTGTTGGTTTACTCCTTCAGGAGCTTTTTTGTTGGACATAATTATATTGAGTTTTAATTTTAGACCTATACTACAATATCGACCTCTCAAATTTGGGGCTTTATTTATATCTGGGGCCTAAAGCGCAAGCTTCTTTTCTTCGAATATTGAGCCGGCATTGGTGACCCGTAACTTGCTTTTGTGGGACCTGGCTTTATATCCCTCCTGCTGATGTGCCCTAAATTGGGCTGTAACTAGAAATATTTTTTGTAGTCTAAGATGACTTTAGCTGTTCCTTTCTAATAAAAAACCGCAATAACCATTCCTTACTCTTAGTCTCTTGGCAAATCTAATAGCCTTAAGAGATAGAATACTGAACATACCACCTTCCACTAGTCTTCTATTTCCTCTAATATTAGTAGTAAACATGACATGCTTGACTGGGTGCAATACACAAGGATACGCTTTTTAACAATCTTGCACGCAATATCAAGACGTAGTGGTGGTTTAATATCATATTGGGTGAAATCTCAGCGTTATGATAATGGGAATGTTTATGTAGGAGAGATAAAAAGGGGAGGAAGGTTAGCTAAGTAGGTGTATAAGAAGGTTGATGCTTATGGATTGAGGGTGATGGAGTTAAGGGGACTGCTGCTTGAGATTGTCCTAATATTCACGAGCTCCATTGTGTGGTGTGTGTTGGGTTAGGGGTGAGATCTTAACTGCAGCTTAGGGTTGTAAATGAGCCGAGCCAAGTCAAGCCTTGAAATGCTTAATCTCAATTCGGTTGAATCTAGCCTCTGATCAAGTTCAGCTTAAGCTCAAATAATTTTTCACACTTACAATTAAAGTTTGGCAGAGGATTCTGAGCTTTGGAGCCTACTCGGAGAATGATACAGAAATCTCTTGTTTGCGTATGAGCCAAAAACAAAATTAGACTTAGCAAAGCAATAAGTTTTCAAAGTATAACACTGTTTTTTATATCTTTAAAGACAGATAATTTTTTTTTTTGACAACACAAAACAAAACAGATAACATTAACGAGAAATTCAAAATTCGCACAGCTTAAATCTGATGTTATAAATTCCACTAATGGTTCAAACAAAGCCCAGTAATTGGAAGCAATGTCAACTCTTTTAACTGCTCTGAGGCCCTTTTACCTGAAGTGTCGGACAAAATACAGTGACATAGTTTTTGCAGATTTCATCATTTTTGTTTCCTAGTATCACCTGGCACGTCAGTGAGATTCCAAAATTTCTAGAATGTCTGAGATAAGTGGTCATATATATGTGAGATGCACCTGAGTTTTGGCATGCCAAACACAAGCTCGGCTTGGGTGACTGATCAAGCTTGAAAGATGTCTTTAGATTGACTTGTTCTCATTAATGAGCTAGCTTCAATATGCTGATCTCGAGCTACTGGCAAGTTACTTGGCTTGATTTACAATCCTACTGCGGCTTCATATTCTCTTGACTGTTAGTCTAGTTATATTGGACTGAGTGTCGAGATTTTATTTTGATTACCTTGAATTGGTTGAATATTGGGTATGCATAGGTATTAAATGATTTGGTTTTTAGATAGAAAAAGAGCTGCTCATAGAGAAAAGATGTGTAGAGCAATTGTTGGAGCAGAGAGGTTGGTGGAAAACTTGGGAGTAAATCTAAGAAATGAAGAGGAAAGTCCAATTTGAAGAGAATACACAGGATCCATGTACTCATTAGATTTCTCGAGTATAACCCTCGCAGATAAGGGGAACAAAGTAAGGGTAATGAACCGGCATTATTTAGATGAATTTCAGTGAAGTGAATCGTCTTCTGATAAACCATACCACAATGGTGCTAATTGGCCGCAAAACAATATTTGATAGATTAACTTTTTGTGAAACCTTTGCTCGTCGGGGCTTCCACTTTTAAATCGGTTAAAACATACTTCTTAAGTAAATTTCCTTTTTCTACATTTTCAACTGGTTTATTAAATTTTGTGCTTCTGCAGTCTTAACTTTTCTTTCCACAGGCTTCAGAGAATGTGGACGCTCATTTTGTCAGCTTCACGTGTGTGGATGGTGACTCTCTCTATCCCTCTCTATAATAATCGACTCGACTATAATCAGGGATACTATTCACAATCATCTATCTGAGTTCAGATTTGGGCTCTGGCCATCCCTTCTAAGGGGAATTGATCATGTTAAGCACACTTACATGAACTTTGGATCTAGATTTGGAGATAGTTAAATTAGAGGCCTACACACATACCAGTGTAGAGTGTGTGATCCAGTCCATGTTATGTGACATTCTATATATTATTCAGTTGTTTATCACAGTTATTTCATCTATAAAAATATGATTTGCAGGACAACTTTATGAACTCGATGGAAGGAGGTCTGGACCAATTTCACATGGCGCATCCTCTTCAAGCAGCTTATTACGGGTAAATCCTCTTGGCAGTAATTGAGAAAGTGCTCACTTGTGCATTTCTTTCCTGAAGTCTGGCTACTAAACAGACCGGGGGAAGAGAATATGAGAAAAACACAATCTACATGCTTAATGACAAATTTTTTTTTTTGGAGGACCTCGACGGCACGGGGAATTTTATTAATCAAAATAAAAAACTACACCTAGCTAGTGGGGTACATATGTACCTGGCACGGGGGGATTTTATTAATCAAAATAAAAAACTACACCTAGCTAGTGGGGTATATATGTACCTTATTTCTCGATGTAATCTAATTACATATAATTAAGGAATTAAAATATTCTAATACATGCTTAATGACATGACGTGTGTGACTGCTGGTCTTTTTGACTGACCTTAACTACACATTTGGATGTTGCATTCGCATGGGTGATGTGTGGTTTTTATATTGAATTTCATGCTCCATGCAGCATATAAATGAGCTCCTAGATGAATTCACCACTTTGGTGATGGCTGCATTGTGAGTAGATTAAGCCTGGAACTCTGAGACGTACGACTTAGTTGGGTGTGGTAAGTGTGTTAGTTTTACAGGTATTGACTAGGGCGGGGATGATGATCTGCTGATCTACTGACGTTATTAAAGCTGAGATTGAATCATATCCATCTAAGTGGATCTTAGATAAAATTATTCCATGCTGATGTAAATGTCTTGCTTGATTATTTTAGGGTCAGGCCTTGAAAAAGCGTTTTGCCTTGAGAGGTTGCGCCTAGGTTTACTCAGACTAATGTCACTCGTCCTCGGCAGGAGTATATAGAAACCTGCCTTTCTTAGGAACTTTGTGCATCGCGTGCGACCTTTGTGTTCCCTTTCATTACTTACTGCCATAAGGATGAGCTAACGGTACTTATCTAATATTTAGGGTAGTTTATATACTAATTGACTTTATTATATTGCAGGATGCAGCAAAAGTTATTCAAGGGATGATCCAGAAAAACCCTGACTCAATGAACTTCAATGTCATTGCTATTTCAAAGAAAGTTGCAGAAGGGTAGTAGTTTTGTAGTTCAATTTCAACAATGGAGATCAGGTATTTTAACCTACCAATACTGGAATGTAGAGCTTGCTATTTGTGTAGGTTAGAACCCCCTTCCTGGTTGTGATTTAGGTTCCAGACAATCTTCACTAAAACTCCTTTTTCCAGTTTCGGGAGATCTTGTGCCTTGGTGAAAATAATTTGTTTTTTTCTTTTCGGCTTATACATGGTATCCTCCCCTCTATCTGATCGTGTACTGGGCTGAAGTTAATTCAATCAATGCCAAGGCCCTCCCTTTTATTCGTAATTGTTAGGAACTCTTATTTTTTTAGGGTAATGTTCTTTGAACTTAAAAATTTAACTTCATTTATTGACAATCTGGGGTCTCATCAAGTCAAGGTTAAGTCTTTAGATCTGAATAACTTCCAATAGAAGCCTAAATGGTAAATACAGGATGAATTGTCAATCTAGATATCTCGAGTTTAAACAAATTCAAAAAGTTATACTTAAAACATCTGGTTGACATCTTAGAGTTTAAACAAATTCCTGAAGTTAAACTTAAAACATTTAAATTTAGAGCTAGTCTGGGTTATCCCATTGAACTAGAACTATCACTTTGAGTACTCTTAGGGGTTGTTTGGTATGTGGGTTTGAAGGGGTTTGGAAACATGAGTTGGGGAGTAAATCCCTTTAAACTCATGTTTGACAACCATAAAATATGGATAGGATTTCAGACTCGGTCCGGTCATGGCTTGGTCGAATTTTATTAAACCGGGGGGTATTTGTGGGTTTAACATACAAATGATATTTATATCCCTATATATCTTATATACTTTATATATACAAATTGGTTAAGGGACACAATAGTTATTTAATATACAAATATATTATCATAATAGTTATATATCCCTGCGCATACCAAACATGGATATGAACAACATTAAATGTTGGATTTCATCTTTGAATCCCATCTTTGGGTCAAACCCGGGTTTGGACGATCCAATCCAAACCTCTCCCAAAAAATATACCAAACATGCCCTTACAGTTGACACATTATTTCAAGTATAAGCTATTATTAGCTTATACTATAGCCTGCACACAATGGTTCCTTCCTATAATGGCATTTTGATAAGGAGTACTCAAAATTCGTACTCTTGTATTCAAAGAATTAAATTTTATTTTTGAAACGATCAAAATGTCTGAAATATTTTTCTTTCAATTCAAAAATACCTATGTTTCGGTAAGTTCAAAGTGTTTCGGCATATTTGGATATGTTTTGATTAATATTGTGGAAATAATTTTTTAATTTTTCCTTTGTTTTCATCTTATTTCTTCTGAAATATTTTCATTTTAAAACTCACCAAAACTATGTATCAAAACAAAATTTTGAGCTTTGTTAGTATTGACTACTGAAACTCCATTGAGTCTGCTTTTAGGTTTCTGAATTAAGTAACATTTTTTTTTTCAAAAATTGCTTCATACTTGCACAAACAATAAACTGAAAAACAAATGTATCAGAAAACCAATTTATGGTAATTTCTAACAAAGATCGGAACACCAAAGACCTCTTACAAAACACAAATGTCCAACCATGACAACCACATAAAAAGAACCAGCGACAAAACCCATCAAGCAAACAAAAATGCTCACAAAATAGCCTTTGATCTCTTACCATAACCCACAAAATTCACTTCACCAACCTTAAAAACACACACCATAGTGGAAGTGGTGCATGTGCATGCAGCCTAAAGACCCTGCTGTTCCCTAGTCTGTTCACTGTTGCTGCCCAAGTTGCTGAGCCTTCTCTTTCACCTCCTTCGTCACTTCCGCGATCCTTGCACGGGCACGATCGATCTGCTCCGACCCAATCGGGCGTTTTCCGGTAGCGTACTGGTACGCCCAGTACAGCAAAAACGTAGCAGTGGCACCAAACCCGCCAGAAGTTAAAAACCCTGCAATGATCAGAAATAGAGTGATTGCCGCGGGGACAAGCACCGGGCTGAATATAACCAGCAACGGAGTGACCAACGCGAGAAGGACCGTGGTGGCCGCCAGAGTCAAGGCGGAGAAAACCATGAGGGAGCCACCAACGGTGACGGCAGTGGTGGTTTTGACCACCTGACGAGAGGGCTGAGACTGGGGCTGCTGGCGTGGTTGATTTTCAGCCATTGGAGTTGACACTGAGGTACGAAAATGGTGGGTTTTTTTTTTTTGGGGGAAAGCGGTGTTCTTCGGTTTGCTGGAGATGATAAAGTCTATAAAAGAGCTGTATATAGATTATAGAAGGCATACAAAGTAGTGATTAGTGATGCATGGTGGGTCACGTGACGAGTGGAGGTGGTGTCACGTGTTCGCTGTTGGTCCCATGCAAGGTTTGCATGATTTAGGGTGCCTTACAGCTTGCCACGTATTTTTTGTGTGTGTAAGGGAGAAAGAAGAATGATCATGCCCGTGAAAAAAATATTGGAGGTTACCGATATATTATGTCAGCAATATTATTACGTGGTGTAATTATTTATTAATAAATAAATAAGTCTCTAAATAAATTCTACAAAAATTCATAATTATCTAGTAATATAATGAGTTCTATTTTATCTATTTTATAGTTTTTGTATTGGATGATTATATCATATAAGTATTGTTATATCAAGTTATTACGTTGACATGGTGAAATCGTCTAATGATAAAATAATGAGTGGACAAGTGGATCCCATTATAATAATTATTACATGACATAGATGGGTAATTATTTTAAATATGTCAAATCTATTTGCCTACTTATTATATTATCATTAAAGGGTTACACCATATAACCGTTACACCCAATATATAATTCTAGGGAATCAAAAAAAAAATTACAAATATTGAATCTTAAAATAAGTAAAAATTATTGTGTGAATAAATTTTATTAAAAACATGAGTAGCGTAGTTTAAATTTAATTTATTCATCTAATTTGTCGTTGCTGATGTAATTCATCAAAATTATTGAATTAGTAACGAGTCTTCAAAAAAATTAATCTGACAGTAGTAATTCTTTGGATACAAAAGAAATTCTAAATTCTAAATTTTGAATCTTAAATTAGTAAAAATTGTTGTGTGAATAAATTTTATTAAATATAAAAATAATGATATTAAGATCTAATTACTTATTATGATTAGATTAACAGCAAGTCCCAAATAACTTTCTATATGAGCTACTAATTCAATGATTGTATTAGATTAATTATTAAAGAATATTCCAAAAAACTATATAAATTAGAGAATATCTAATTGAACAACAGAGCTAGTTAGGAGTCATCTCAAAAGTGTTGGCAATTTGGCATGGGATCTAAAACAAATCGAAATTTTTATCGTATTCATAAGTCTAAAAGACGCGTGTATGAACCCCATGTTTCAAACATTTTCCATAACAATTAACTTCCATGTGCATTCATCTCGAAGGTTGCCATTCAATTGTTGTTGAAGCATACAAAGGAAGCATGGCCAATTAAAACAGAAAAAGTAACCTCTTACCTTGGACAAACCGGAAATCGATTCTCGCTAGCTAGTAAATTCTGATTTAATAGATATTCATTGCTAGCGAGTGATTACAGATATTCAAGATTTATTCTATAAGAAATTGGTCTAATAATAAGTGTCTTCAAGACTCAAGAAGCCGAAGAGAAAGAAGTAGGAGCGAAAGGAGGAAGAGGAACTTCAACATATCCTTCAAGCATTTGTATTACAGTCTTCATTGTTGGCCTTTTAGAAGGATCTTCCTGAATACACCAAATTGCAGTCATCACCCATCTTCGCAACATGGTCATTTCACACAAACCCAAATCCTCATTCTCCAACAAACAATCTAATCTTCCTTCCATATAACAATTATAAGCCCAATCCGATAGTATTGCTCTTTCTTCTTCCCCAAACTCCATTTCCACACCTCTCCTACCACATATAATCTCTAATAACACAACCCCAAAACTGTAAACATCCACTTTGACAGTCACAGGCACATTCTTGAACCATTCCGGAGCAACATACCCTCTTGTTCCTCTTATTGCAGTACAAGTTCTACTCTGATCCATCATCAATGTCTTGGACAATCCAAAATCAGAAATCCGGGGTGTGAAATTTTCATCTAAGAGAATGTTTTGGGGCTTTATATCACAGTGGATTATTGTGGATTTGCACTCTTCATGTAAGTACACTAGGCCTCTTGCAATCCTGATCGCCACGGGTGACCTTTCAGTCCAATTAGGCCTTGGAGAGCCAAATAGGAAGGTTGCTAAACTGCCATTGCTCATGAACTCGTATACTAGAAGCTGATGCGGCCCCTCCTGACAGTACCCAAGAAGCTGAACAAGGTTCTTGTGATGGGTCTTCCCAATTGCATCAACCTCAGATTTGAATTCTCTTTCGCCTTCTGATGACAACTTGTTTAGCTTCTTGACAGCAACTAAATTTCTTGAACCAGATTTCAAAACGCCTTTATAAACACTGCCAGAAGAACCTCTTCCTATCTCGTCCTTGAACCCATCTGTTGCTTCTTTGAGTTCTGATGGGTTAAGCCCAAATAGTCCAATTTATGTATTAAAGCCCAGCCCCGGTTGAGGAGCCCAACCTCATTGTGAATCCACCAAGTCCAAGACAGACCAAGGCCGGTTAGACTTCTTGCTTAGCACGTCACCAAGAGGAGATCACGGGAAGCTTAAGGCCGGTTAGACTTCTTGCTTAGCACGTCACCAAGAGGAGAGCATGGGAAGTTTATCTGCACCTCCTTAAGGAGTCCAAGGCTGGCTAGACTTCTTGCTTAGCACGTCACCAAGAGGAGAGCATGGGAAGTTTACCTGCAACCACCGAAGGAAGAAAACGGTCCAATCATTGACCACGTTTCATGAAGAGCTCCCCAACCTCTTCCTTCCGTGGAGGATAAGTCGTGATCTCCACCAAAGATAATCTCTAAGCTGCGATAAAGAAGCCTTGAGGATATGTCATGATCTCCACAAGAATGATCTCTTAGCTACTATAAAATGGCTCTAATCTGGGAGAGGAAGGGACATGCTCCATCAGAGACACACAAAAGACGAACCGACTACCGGATATTATTATTCTTTGATTCTCCATTCCCCCTCTCAAAGCTTGTATCTCCATTCTCCATACCTTTGAATCAATAAAATACCCAGCGACTGAAGCCATTGAAGAGTGGACGTAGGTCGAATTGACCGAACCACTATAAATTGTGTCTTCTCTAATTTTTTCGTTGATTTCATTGCATTTATTATCTATACTTGACAGGTGGTGTGCAAAACCATTTTTGTGCATCATCAGTTTGGCGCCGTCTGTGGGAAACGACAAAATTCTCACTCCTGAACATTACGTCCATTGAATAATGGCGATCACTACTCGATCCATGAACCAACACGAAGACAATCCTCCACGAGAGGAGGAGGTTGCCCCCCCGCCTATCAACCCTGTTCCGGATACTCTAGCCCCGAATCCCCAACAAATATTGGAGACCATGCAGCAACTGGTTGCTCAAAACCAACAGTTACTGCAACTCATACTTGCTGGACAAGGAGGAGCACCACACGGAGGTGCACAACATGGAGGACCCCAAGGAGGAGCACCACATGGAGGTGCACAACATGGAGGACCCCAACGTGGAGCACCACATGGAGGTGCACAACATGGAGGGCCCCACAGAGGTGCACAACATAGAGCACCCCAAGGAGCTCCACATCCTGGACATCAAGGAGCACCACGCCCTGTTGCTCCACGCCCGGGTGCCCCATTGGGCACCCCACTTCAGGAAGCCCAACATGAGGGAGCTGCACCTCCCCCTCCCCTTGCTTTCCAGGGAGAGGACCCTTATCTCCAGGAGGATGAGGGTGAAAACCAAAGCATGGGGCATGGAAGCCACTTCCATGATCATTCCAGAGGAGCCCCCAATCATTGGGACGAGAAGATAAAGGAGGTACAAAATCAACTCGGTGATGTCTTCAACGCCATGAAGGCACAAGGACCCGAGACTGTTGACCACCTGGTAAGGCGTACTGATACCCCTTTCAAATCTGATGTAGCAAACTACCCCCTCCCTCAGAAGTTCAAAATGCCATCTGTGGAGACCTTTGATGGAACAAAGGATCCACTGGACCACCTCGACACTTACAAGACCTTGATGCAATTGCACAACGTACCAGACGAAATCATGTGCAGGGCATTCCCAACCACATTAAAGGGGTCTGCCCGACAGTGGTTTGCTAAGCTCTCCCCCGCCTCTATTACCTCTTTTGCCGAGCTTAGCAGATCATTCGTCTCACACTTCATAGGAGGGCGTCGCCACCAGAAGCCAGTTACGCACCTGCTTAGTATAAAGCAGGACCGCGAGGAGAGCCTGAGGAGTTACCTCACTCGTTTTAACGAGGAGGTACTCCAAGTTGATGAACCCGACGACAAGGTGACGATGACCGCCTTCTTGGGTGGCCTCTGTTCATCAAGTTTCCTTTTCTCGGTTCTGAAGCGCCCACCGAAGAGCATGCCAGAACTATTCACAAAAGCTCAAAGATATATGAATGCTGAGGAAATCAACAAGTTTAGGCAAGGTGAATCATCTCACAGATCACCAGAAACTTGACCTGCCTCTGCACTGTTCTCAAACAGGCAGCCTATCTCCAGTTTAGCGGCTCTCTCACGGGTCGCCAAAAAACTTGGCCTCTGCACTGTTCTCAAACAGGCAGCCTATCTCCAGTTTAGCGGCTCTCTCACGGGTCGCCAAAAAACTTGGCCTCTGCACTGTTCTCAAACAGGCAGCCTATCTCCAGTTTAGCGGCTCTCTCACGGGTCGCCAAAAAACTTGGCCTCTGCACTGTTCTCAAACAGGCAGCCTATCTCCAGTTTAGCGGCTCTCTCACGGGTCGCCAAAAAACTTGGCCTCTGCACTGTTCTCAAACAGGCAGCCTATCTCCAGTTTAGCGGCTCTCTCACGGGTCGCCAAAAAACTTGGCCTCTGCACTGTTCTCAAACAGGCAGCCTATCTCCAGTTTAGCGGCTCTCTCACGGGTCGCCAAAAAACTTGGCCTCTGCACTGTTCTCAAACAGGCAGCCTATCTCCAGTTTAGCGGCTCTCTCACGGGTCGCCAAAAAACTTGGCCTCTGCACTGTTCTCAAACAGGCAGCCTATCTCCAGTTTAGCGGCTCTCTCACGGGTCGCCAAAAAACTTGGCCTCTGCACTGTTCTCAAACAGGCAGCCTATCTCCAGTTTAGCGGCTCTCTCACGGGTCGCCAAAAAACTTGGCCTCTGCACTGTTCTCAAACAGGCAGCCTATCTCCAGTTTAGCGGCTCTCTCACGGGTCGCCAAAAAACTTGGCCTCTGCACTGTTCTCAAACAGGCAGCCTATCTCCAGTTTAGCGGCTCTCTCACGGGTCGCCAAAAAACTTGGCCTCTGCACTGTTCTCAAACAGGCAGCCTATCTCCAGTTTAGCGGCTCTCTCACGGGTCGCCAAAAAACTTGGCCTCTGCACTGTTCTCAAACAGGCAGCCTATCTCCAGTTTAGCGGCTCTCTCACGGGTCGCCAAAAAACTTGGCCTCTGCACTGTTCTCAAACAGGCAGCCTATCTCCAGTTTAGCGGCTCTCTCACGGGTCGCCAAAAAACTTGGCCTCTGCACTGTTCTCAAACAGGCAGCCTATCTCCAGTTTAGCGGCTCTCTCACGGGTCGCCAAAAAACTTGGCCTCTGCACTGTTCTCAAACAGGCAGCCTATCTCCAGTTTAGCGGCTCTCTCACGGGTCGCCAAAAAACTTGGCCTCTGCACTGTTCTCAAACAGGCAGCCTATCTCCAGTTTAGCGGCTCTCTCACGGATCGCCAAAAAACTTGGCCTCTGCACTGTTCTCAAACAGGCAGCCTATCTCCAGTTTAGCGGTTCTCTCACGGATCGCCAAAAAACTTGGCCTCTGCACTGTTTTCAAACAGGCAGCCTATCTCCAGTTTAGCGGTTCTCTCATGGATCGGCAAAAAATAAAAAAAAATAAATAAAAAAAACTTGGCCTCTGCACTGTTTTCAAACAGGCAGCCTATCTCCAGTTTAGCGGTTCTCTCATGGATCGGCAAAAAATAAAAAAAAAAAAA